AGAGCGAGCATCTCCTTCGAGGGAGCGGGCCAAGTCCTATGACGTTCCGACCTACTTTAGCCTTGATCACCATAAAGAATTTCGAGTTCCAGGAAAGTGCCGAAACTGGGGAGTTTTCACGTGTCGGGCCCCGGGAGGCGTTACTGGTTCGAAGTTGTTCCGATATTTCCCAGGGAGGGGGGCCCAGCGCGGATCTCCACATGTTTATGTTTCTGCCGTGTCGTGCTCCTCCAATGAAACTCACCACCCACCAAACCACCCCAACCCAACCCGAAGGCTCAGATTTACAATCGATTTCTAGTGGGAGGGGGTCGGGAAACCTCGAAAAAACACGTGTGGAACCCTTACCCCCCCCAACCCGAAAATCGGGTCTTCGGGTTGGGTTGGGGTGGTCTGGTAGGTAGTCAGAAACAACATGTCATGCCTCGCCCGCGCCCGCTGGGCACAGCGGATCCGCCGCGTGCGCTGGCGCGGCGGCGGCGCTGCGGCTCCCGGGCGCGCCCGCCCTGGTGGCCCAGGGCTCCGTGCAGGGGAGGCCCGGAGACAGGGCGGGGCTGTCGAGGACGGCTTCCCGCTCGGCACAGCTGCTGCGAGGGCCTCATAGGTTGGGTCTGGCATACAGTCGGGGCGCTGGAGAAGGAACCTTTTTCGTTGGGGAGGGGCTCGGTGTTCCTTGATTGTTTTACAGTTTGCCTTGGGTTATCCTTAGGTTTTTCATGGGGAATCGACGTTGAACTTATGGGAAAAGGGGGCCTCGTTCCTTAAATCGGGTTTCTTAGGTCAAGGCCCCGACTGTGTCCCAGGACAGGAGGGATAGTCATCAGTAGTCTAAGGACGATTGCTCCAAACATGTTTGACCATGCTTGAACCTCTTTTGTGACTAGTGCCGATTCTCTTCCAACATCCGCCTGTAGGAGGACATATCCGACCTAACCTTCTGGCTGGCGCCGCCGAACCTAAAGGGACGACGACGACGACGACGACGACGACGACGACCCGAGCGCATCTGGCTCGGCACGGTTAGTGTAGGATGCAACGCTTTGGTGGCGAACTTTGGTTTTGGAGCCAGCTGGGGGTCTGAGTGGCCTAGCACTGGTTCGGGCCAGCAGGCAGGGCGGGCAGGTTCAGGGCTGTGGGTTCGGAGTGATTGTTGAACCTTTGTTGGCTTCCGGTGGCAGTTTTCGGCCCCCGGGGCCGTGAGAAACGGATCCTGGATCAAAAGTTGCAGTGGACCCTTGGGAGGGGTCTGTGACCGATGTTGAGCGAAGTTGGCCTCAGCCCTCCTCCGACCAAATTTCTGTTGTCCCATCCAGTTCAGACCCCCCGGAGGCCTCGAAGGCAGGTTCCGTTCTACCCAGGAAGTTTTCAAACTATTGATTCATTAGATGTGTTCTTTTTTAGAAGGGGCTCACGTGGGATCATAGTGGGGTTCAGTGGGGTCGCAAGTTGGAGTTGGTGGATTGTAGAGAACCACGGTGGGGGCCCACTAAATCTCAGTGAGGCTCCCATGCCCTGGCCACCTAACAACGGAAGGTTCAAGGGTGATGTTTGTTTAGTCTCCTTTTGCGCAAACGGTTTCCAACCCCTTCACTCCCGTCCTCCCCGTGTAAAGGTGACGACCGTACGTCTGGTGGAGGTCTGGGCCACCCCTTCATAATGGTTCTTGCGCGCATTCTTTTGCGATCCAATTGCTTCCCCAGCCCAAACGTTACCGTCACCCGGGGCCTCATCTCGCCCCCGGGTAACGACCGATACGCAGAAATAAGTAAACAATAGTATCAGGTTCGTTCTTCTTTAGTTTTTCGTTTCGACGCTGTCCTTCATCGTTTTCGCGTTTTTGGGCCTCCTGGGAGGCCGCCGCCACGGCTGGTGTCGCTTTGAAGTTCTGGTCAGAACGCACTCCGGGAGAGCTCCAGGGAGTGCATTGCGGTTCAGCCAGGGGCGACGTTCGGTTGGAGGTTTACGGTCGTTTTCGTTGGTTTTCGGAGGGTTCGCGGCTTCCGGGTGTTTTTCAGCATCTGCGCCTCGGCGCAGGAGTTGCTGGGGAGAGCCAGGTCATGATCCGAAAGCCAGGGGGCAAAGTTATGGAGGGATAGCCTCAGGTGGGGACGCATCGACACGAATCGTCCGTTCATCGCCGATAGGGGCCCGATGACCCACCCCGCCTGGTAGCGTACGGCTTCGGTATCGTGGGCCCATCGCCGATCTATCGGCGATGTATCGCTGAATCCAGCTAGATGATTCTCCCATGCGCTGGCTAAGCATGGTGCAGGCAGCGTGTTGTCCGAGTCCGTGGGTCTCTTTGTTGTCGCAGCGGGCCAATGCACCGGCCAGGATAGCGGTCTGTCGTGCTCGTGACTGAAGACCACCAGTTTTGCACTTGTTTGCTCTCGTTCCGCTGCCTCGTGGCCCAGCGGCACAGCATTGCAGCATTCCACTATTCGAGCACGTGCCTGAAGTCTGGTGACCGGCACGTTACGTGTTGCTTGAAGATCCTTGCCGGTCTCCCCCCCCCCTGGCCCCTCAGAATTGGGATGCAAGGCGTTCCCGTGGGCAGCCCAGCAGGCAGTGGTCGAGCGTCCACGCAGCTCTGTCCTGACGAATGCGTTGGTTGCATCAGACGTGCGTCGCATTATTGCCGATGCGCCGTCAAAGCGCCAGGCTCGCTGGCTCCCCTAGGCGAGGTTTGATGAATGGCACGCTTCACATTGCCTGAAGGTGCTGCCCGACCCTCGCGCTCCCACCTCCAAGGCTTGGATTAAGTCGGGCGTGTCCCTCTCTTTACAGGAGGAGGATTCAAAAATAGTCCAAACAATAGTTGCTGACTATGCGGGGGCATTTTTGGGGGTATTTTTTCACTTGTCGCCCAAAATCCGCCTGTAGAGGGACATGCCCGACCCGAGGCTTGAGTTTGCTGCAGGCCCGGCGTGGCTGCAGATGCGGAGGCCCGGCGCGAGCTCGAGGGTGCGCTTTTGCCGGCGCGAGGGCGGGGATTCCGGAGCGCCGCGGCGCGGACCACCCCGCCCCCATGGGGGCCGAGCCCAGCTTCAGCATCGCCCAACACGCCTCTGCTCTGTGTGCGCTGCCCCCCCCCTTCAGTGGCCCAGTGGCTACGCGAGCGCGCTCGGAAATCTTCTCGGTGGCGGGCGCTTTCTGGCGATACCGCCTGGGTACAGGAGTATTGTAGGTTGTGTTCGGTTCGGACGTGCGTGTCGACGGGGGGCGCGTAGTACTGGCTGGCATGTCGTTCTGCGTCGGGTGCCATTCTGCGTCCCATGGCTCACGCGCTGATGGGCTCCCCGCGGCGGCGTGTCACTGATATGTTTGTTGCTCCACGTGCAATGTTTGGGAGGCTGGATGAGGCATCGGCACTGGTGTACCCTTGGCCGAAAACCAGCCAGATCCTGCACAGTGTTATTCAAAAGCGGACTGAATCCCGTGGAATGTGGTTTCATCCCCCGCTCAGTCGGCCCTAGTCTTACCCACTGTTGCCCCCCAGTCAGGCTCAATGCCTGTCAGTTGAGCGATGGAAGCAAACGTGGCCGTTTTCACCGACATTGGCGCGTAAGCTGCCCGCGCAAAGTCGCGCGTAAGTTCCCTCGTTTCCAGTGTGGCGTGCCGCGCTGGCGGCCCGCGTAAGCCACCGGCTTAAGGTCGCCATGCTCTCTCGTAAGATAGTTTTTTTCGTCGCTCAATTATGCTTACGAAGACCTCTCAAGATCGGGCGGGGCTGGGACGAGGATAAAACAGCTCCAGAGCGTTCCGGAGCGCTCTCAGAGCGTTCCAGGACGCTCTGAGAAGGCCGTGGCGCCCGAGACATCCTGCAGAACCGCCAGGTCTCAGAGATCCTCGATTTGCTCTCACCCGAAATTCTCCTCGTCCTGGCTTCCAGGAGCTGCCTCCCAACCTCTCCTTCCCCCCTACCGCTAAGCAGGCAGCAACCTACGCTTTACACTGCCCTCTTGACAGTGGACGGTCCCTCATGGCGCTGTGCGCCTGTGTTGCATGTTGGAATTCCCCTTCGGAAATCCAATTCTATTCCTCAGGAGCAACACAAGCGCAGACACAAATAATGGCCGATTCTCCGGAAAACATGGGAAGAGGAGGAGAAGACGAAACTCAAGGCAAAATGTTGAAACCCTTGGAATTTTGGGATTTGTGTGTCCTTGGTCCTCTTACTGCGGCTCCACCGCCTCGGCCGGCCGCTCCGGCCCGCTCGACTTGGAACCCTTCCTCGTTTGAGTGCCCCCCGCCCTCTCCTCCGCCATCGCGCGGCCGTTCCCTCAGTCCTTCCCTTGTTCTTGCACCCGAGGATCATCGAGGCGTGCGGGTGGTTCCGCCCAAGGACAGGCCTTGGACAAGCAGACTGGCACCCGCGCTTGTGGAGGAATGGTGGGTATCAAGGTGCCGTGCGCGTTGCAAGCGTGTTCAACGCGGTGGAGCGAGGAACGCCGTGGCCCACGGCGCAGGCCACCATTTTCTTTTACGTGATGCAGAAGGCCGCGGGGGGCTTCCGCAACCTGGGCCTCATCGCAGAGTTGGCGCGCGTGTGGGAAACCATCCGCATCCCCTGCGCCAAGCGCTGGGAGGCTGCCCACACGAGAGTCTACGACGGGGCGCGGCGAGGGCGCTCGTCGGAGAGAGCGGCGTGGCTGCAGGCCTTGTACTGCGAGGCCTCGCGCGCCGGCGGCTACGAGTACGCGGTGACCTACTTCGGCCTGGTGAATTGCTTCGATTGGGTCACGCATCGAAAGAACTGTGAAGCGGCCGCGCGCTGGGTCTTCAACTTAATCCTCATACACGTCGTCCTCAGGATCCACAGCATGGTGAGGCGCATCGTCCTGGACAGGTGCTGCACCGAGGGCAGGGCTTGGAAGCGCGGCGTCGTGGCTGGCAGCAGGTACGCGCCGTTCTGCCTCGAGATGGTGCTTGTTTTTTGGAGCTGGACGAACCAGTGAATTGTCCCCGTGGGCGGGCACTTTTTTTTCGACGACCTCGCCATGGCCGCGCACGGCATCCGCGATTTCGTCGACCACTTCCACCCCGTGTTGATTGGGGCCGTGATCTACATGATCGAGGCGAAGCTGGACATGGCCGTCTCGAGGGGCGCGGAAGGGGAAGACGCTCACCCTGACCTCCTCCACCACACTCGGGAAGCAGAGTAACGTCAACACCAGGCACCTCGGCGTGAGGGTCGGCAAGCACGAGAAGTACCTGGGAGTCGCAGCTACAGCATGCATGCGCAGAAGAGTGGCAGCCATCAGCAAGCGCGCGCTCAAGTTTGCAGCAAGAAAGGCATGGGTGGCAGCCGTGCGAATAGGAGGAGGGGCGGCCCGCAAGCATGTCAAACACCTCAAGGTGCCCGCGCTCCTTTACGGCTCTTCCTCTGTCGGCATGGCGGACTCCAAGCTCCACGAGTTGCGGAAGAGCGCGGCGACGGCGACGGAGGGCAACACCAAAGGCAGGTCGACCGCCTTCACACCTTTCAGCGACGGGGTCGACACAGGCCACCTTGTCAACAGCAGCCCCATCATCGCCTGGGCGACGGCGTGGCAGGGGGTGCTCGAGGACATGCAGCTGGCCGAGAGACTCCACAGCGCGTGGCGCACCTGGACGATGGAGATTCAAATTGCAAGACCCCGTGGCTCATTGTACGGGGGCCAGCTGGCGCTTTCGCAGCGACGGTTAGGCCCTTGGCTGGATGGCGCAGGCAGCGCGCTCGGTGACGATCGACGTCATGACATTCGACGCGCCAAGTTGCAGGACATACAGCGCCACGTTGTGACCGCCGCCGAGAAGCAGCTGAAGGACGAGCGGGCAAAGCAGCGCGGCCACCAGCACGGCATCAGCTCCATCCTTTTGGGGCCGGCGCAGTGTCTACGACGAACGCTCAAGGGCCGTTGGGCACAGGCACGCCGCGCCAGAGTTCGTAGACTTCTCTGCGGGGGTGCGCGGCTTCAGGTGATGTTTCGTGCCGGAGGGGCGGCGCCGGATGATATTTGCAGAGCTTGCAGGCAGGCGCCTGGCACCGATCGACATCGCACCTTCGCGCTCCCAGCCCGACGGCAGCGTCGAGATATTGTAGGAGGCGCGCACATCCAACAACGAGGAGCAAACCCATGACCTGGCCCAGGTGCTGGAGGACCAAGGGGGCGAGATATCGCAGCAGACCCCGCCGTCGAGCTTGGTCTCTGGGACCTGGCATCGCGCGACGACTGGCTCACCGTCACCGAGGGCACCTGGGGCGGCCTGGCGACGGGGGACATCCGCTTGGGCGATTCGCTGCAGTTCGGCGATTGCGCGCCACTTCGACGGCGGGGCCTGTGTTTCACTGAGCTGATGGATGACGCCGACGTGTTCGAGATGGACTACGCGCGATGCGGATGTCTTCCAGGGGCGCAGTGGACCCAGAGCATCTCGAGGGCGGAGCTCTACGCGCTGCTGCAGGCGCTCAAAGTGGGGGCCCCGCCCATGAGAGTTCATGCTGACTGCGCGGCGGTGCTGGGCGGCGCGCTGGCAGGACCGCCCTGGTTCGACGGGAAGACCCGCCCACGCCTGGACTTCTCTCTGGGAGCTCATCTTCGAGGCCATCTCCGACCTCAACGGAGTGAACCAGCGCGCGGTGCTGGCGTGCGAAGTGACAGCCCACGCGTCGCGCGCCGAGCGCGAAACGATCGGGCGCGCGAGGTGGGGAGGCAATAGAATAGCTGAGGAATTCGCTGAGCAGGGGGCTTTGCACCATACCCACCCCGTCTGGCTTCGATATATATTGGAATTCAGCGCCAACGTAGGGGTCCTAGGCCCCCCTTCGGATCTCGTGCACTCTCCTGGGGCCCGGGCGGTCGTGGGCGAAGATGGAAGAGCCCACGAGGCTCCTGCCACTCCTGCCCCGCCCCTGGCTTCTGATCTCCCGTCTCGGGCCGCTCTGGACAGGGGGGGAGTCAGGGTCGACAAAGCACGTTGGGCGGGACACAAACTCTTGTATCGTCAAAGTTATGTTTTCTTTCGCAGATGTTGTTCCCATCGTGCCACATCCCAAACATATTTTTGAGCATCCAACAGAGTATCGAAACAGTGTCGAACGAGTCTCGCCTCTCAGGGCCTGATAACCTGTAAGTTCCGTTACTTGTTGGTGTTCGAAATCATTTCTGGTGGTCGAGGCTACACTATGTGCGGACACATAACAATGTTCCCCCCTCCCGGCCCTCGCCTCGAGGACCTCCGGCGCCCGTCGGCGGCCTGTGCTGGCCACGAGCGCGGATGAGAAGCTGGCCATGCAGCCCTGGAGCCCGGGGCCGGTGCTGGTGCAGAGCGGCGTGGCGCGCCGGGCGCCCGCCGGAGGGGTCGAAAAACAGCAAAACGCCATAAACATAAATTTTTGGCGTTCCGCGCGGGTTCCTTGGATCGGCGCTGGGCCCCCCCCCCCCCTGGCGGCGCCTCCGGCGCCGCCGTTGGCGCGTTCCGCGAGGCAGGGGCGGGGGTCCAGCGCAGATCCAAGAAACCCGCGCGGACCTCCAACAGTTTTTGTTTATGCCGATTCTTGTTCGTCTACGGGAGGATTTCGGACGGGGCCAGGACGAGGATAAAACAGTTCCAGAGCGTTCCGGAGCGCCCCAAGGGCGTTCCGCCTGAGACATCCTGCGGAACCGCCAGGTCTCAAAGATCCCCGATAAGTTATCACCCGTAATTCTCTTCGTCCTGGCTTCGTCTCAGAGATTAATACGTATGGAGCAGTACATTCTTTATGATAACCAATATCGGCATACGAAAACTATCTTTTGACAGCAAATCGGCTTGAAGAGACATGTCGTGTTCCACGCTCGTGGGAAGAGCTCAGCTTGGGACCCAGGCGTGCTCGCGTCGTGATACAATCGGGAAGGGCGGCTGTGCATCGTTTGCGGCCTCTGGCAGCCCTCGCCAGGCCCCGGGACAGTCGCGAAACTGCTGAATCGGGGCCGAAGAGATGGGGGTCAATGCAAACGGGGTCAGCCAGAGCGCCGAATGTTGCAGGATCTTGCAGGACCAGGGGCGCACTGACCCGGGCCTGGGTGCAGAATCCTGCTGGATTTTGCCAGATTTTGCATGGCTTGATTGACCCGGGTCTGGATTGATCCAGGTTAGCAGATCCCCGACTGAGGACGGAAAGCTCGTCCCAGGGAGAGGGTCGGGGCGTCCGGGGAGGGTCAGCAGATCCCCGACTGAGGGTGAAGAGCCGGTCCTCGGAGCGTGAATTTCCTACCCCGCTTTCGCTTCCAGGCAAAACCAAGTCATACCACGCGCCTCCTCGTCAAGCGGCCTGACCAGTACAGGCCGCAGTTTGGCATCGTTTGGTATCTCTTGGAAGCGAGGTAGGTTTGTTTTCCCGCTCGGTCCCAGGGAAGGGGTCGGGGCGTCCGGGGAGGGTCAGCAGATCCCCGACGGAGGAGGAGGAGGAGGAGGAGGAGGAGGAGGAGGAGGAGGAGGAGGAGGAGGAGGAGGAAAAGCGGGTCCCAGGGGAGGGGCCGGGACGTCCGGGGGCCCCCGTGCTGAAAGCAGGCAGGGCGTCGCCTTGGTCTGGGGAGGCGCCCGCGGAGAGCTCTGGGGAGGCGTCGGGGCGCCCGGGGCCTCGAGAGAGGAGGGTGGGGGGCGTGCAGTCTGTCGCTAGTGTTGAGCCAGGCTCGCAGGCCTAGAGGTGGACACCAACACCAATTTCGGCGGTGTGCCTCCACCGAGAGAAGAAGAGCCCGATCTCGGTGATGGTGGTAATATTCTGGTTTCCAAGGTGGCCGAACTATTACCACCAACACCGGAATCTAGGATTATCTTCCCCCTGTGGAGACAACCCCCTGTGTTGGTGTTGGTGCCCATTTCCAGGCCTCCAACAGGCGTGTCCATCTACAGGAGGAATCTTCAAAAAACAGAATCGAACAATGCTGGGGACGTTTTTTGTGGACTACTCTTGGTTATTGATGATTGTTGTTTTGTTTTCCCCTGCCTAGGCTCTGCCCAGAAGGGCTCTTACTCGGAGGCTTAAAGGGCTGGGCAGTGGGGCCCGCCCGCGGCAGTTCCCCCGGCATCCGCCCCGCGGTTCCCCCCAGTGACGTGCCCTTAGCTTCGCGTTGCTTATCTCATCTTAGCTTAGCTTATTTCATCTTACCTGAGCTTAGCTTCATCTTACCTCAGGTTTATCTTAGCTTAGCTTACCTTCATCTTAGCTTCGCTGAGCTTTAGCATAGCAGAGCACAGCATAGCATAGCATAGCGTAGTATAGCATAGCGCAGCATCGCGTATCATAGCATGGGTGTAAGTTTAGCTTAGCTTTAGCTTAGCTTTACCGTTACTACTAATGCTGCTTTCCTAGGGGCTCCAGCTCCTAGGTAGGGTCGCACTGGGATATTTATTTTTCATCCGAAATCCGCCTGTAGGGGAACATGCCCGACCTAACTCTAGTGGTAATGAAAGGGGTGGGTGCCATTAGAAGGTGACAGAAACCGTTGGCCGTGCCTTCGAAACGTTTGTGTTCGCTGTCGCCAGCACGGCCTCCCCCCTTGGGAGCACTGTTCGCTGGTGGGCTTGTTTTCCACCGCCACCACCATAAGTTTGGGGAGGGAGGGGGTCCTCCTCCTAGACCTCGTTCTCCTCCTCTTCGTCCTCGTCATCCTCCACCTCCTTCCCCTCTCCAACTTATGGTTGTGGTGGTGGTGGAAGGCAGGCCCATCATTCGCACCGGCTCGGCTGGGGTGCATCTCGCCAGCCGCTCTCAGGTGCAGTCGCAGCTGAAGCACGACCCCCTGCTGCTGATGTTCGACGCCACTGTGAAGGCGAGCCCAGAGGGAAGCTCCTGGACGCGTTTCGTGTTCGAAGGTCGAGGTCTCTGGACGTTGTCGGTGGTTCTCGGTGGTTTTCCGGCCTCGAGGTGCTCTCCAGCAGTTGCGCCTCGGCGGGATCGTTCGAGGCGTGCCCAGCTCGGGGGGCCGAGTTATGGTCCGATGACCAGGGGACAACGTTAAGGGGGAATGGGCACAGGGGGAGATGACTTGACCCAAAAAATCGCTCATTAATCGCCGACAGGGTCCTGATAGTCACCCCGCCAGGAGACGTGCGGATTTGCTATCAGAAGCCTGTCGCCGATCTATCCACGACGCATTGCCGAGTCCAGGTCGATGCTTCTCCCCCTCGCGGGTCCACCCTGCCCTTCCCCGCAAATGTCGTGGCAACAGGGTGAGTACGGTTTCTGATCGTTGCATCATACAGGCTCGAGGGCGGTATGTCTTTCAATCGTGGGTTGTCGCGTAGCTCTCCACAGTACCCCTTCTCTCGTTTAGATATGTCGCTCGCTTTCGGAAGCGTAGCCAGCTTTGCTTCACAGCCACAGTAGAACGACACACAAACACACACACACACACGCACACATACACACACGCCATCCAAACGTAACATGTGTTGCTTGCTCTCCATAGGGCTACGTAGCAAATGCACGTGCTTCTTCAACTTTCGGCGGGATGTTCTTCGCACCTGTGAGCAAAGCGGTACGGCGTACTGGCATGACAATTCGTTTCTTATATTATCAGATGTTACATTGCTCCGGGGGTGTTTTCTTCATCCCTTGGTTGTTACACGTTTTCAATCAGGGTATGCCTCAAAGGCGCCTTGTGGCAGTGTCCGCAGACCCTGAGACATGAACCTTTTGGGCGCATGAGGCGAAAGGGGTCACTAGGGGCACGGGATATATTCGGCCTCAGTTCGAGGGCGAAAACCATTGGTTCTCGGCCATTTCGGCCTCTCCGCCCGGGTCGTGTTTAAAGCCTTGGGGTGGATGCTTTGGGACTTCTGTTGGGTCTCCTTGGGGCCTTGCTTGTTTGGTCCTCGTGGGGGTCGTGGAGGGATCATGTTGGAGGGGTTGGTTCCAGCGGGCGAAAGTCGCGTTCTTGACGACAACGCATGATGAGGAAACTCATAGGGGTCAGTCAATTCCGCTACGGCCCGCGAGACTTTCAAGAGTATCGAGATTGGCTCCGAGAGGGCCCTAGCGGGCCTGGGCAGCCCAGATACTGACTACACTGGCCCAAAGATCGCCCGAGCCACTCCAGGAGGGAGGAGGGAGGAGGGAGGAGGGAGGAGGGAGGAGGGAGGAGGGAGGCTGCAGGGAAAAGGGCGGAGAGATTCCAGCGACTGGGCCACCTCTCGCCGAGCACCCCAGGACTGCACACCGACAGGGCCGACGGATTTGGGATCGGTCGCCAGCCGGGCTCCCCGGCGATGCGTTGGTCCTTTTGGCAGGCAGCCTCTTGCTGCGCAGGCATCGTCCGCCAACAGGTCGCGCCTTCGGGGCTGGCCGGTGGGCAGCCCCCCCGCCCTCCTTGGGCGCCGCGTAATGGGGGGGTCATAAAATGGGGGGGCGGCGAGGGTGGTCCGAAAAGGTACCCAAACGGTACCTAAACGAGCCCCCTGGGGCTCTGGAGGGGCCCGAAAGGGGCACGAAAGGGGACCTTTTCTGACCCCCCCATGTGTGACCCCCCCATTAAGACACGCCCAACCTCCTCCGTCCCCTTTTCAACTGCTCCATCGTCCTCCGCGGACCGTTCTGTCCTGTCATGCCAGGGCGGCCGTCGCCGCGTGGACTCGTGCCAACACCGGGCCAGGCACATGCACGGGCACCTCGGGATCGGTGCCCTCTCTGGCCTGCGAGCCGCAGCCCCTGACTCTGGCTGAAGGGCAACCAAGACGCAACAGAACCTCACGGTCACGAAGCTGAAACAAGATCCACTAACAATTGTTTTCTTATTTTCTGTTTTGCCGATCGGTGCGGGCCCCCGCATCCCTCCTGCCCCCCCTGGAGTGGATCTTGGTTGTTTTTGGTGCCTGTTTCGAGCAGGTAGAGTCTCCCCCATTGGACGCACTGCTGCAAACAGTTGTTGTGTACACGCGCACACACACACACACACCTTGACCCCATGCAAAAACGACACTCTTCCGCGCACGTCGACCGCGCCGCCCTTCGACCCTGTGCAACTTTCACTTTCTGCGCACATTGTTTTTTTCCCGCACGATCGTCTGCAAGGAATCACCATACGGTGCACCCTGGCTGACACTCACACCGTCGCATCCTAACAGCAACGGAGCTTTCGCTCGATGCTTCCTCTCGATCTTCGGCCGCGCACCCAGGGGTGAAGCGAGAGTGGGCAGGCCTTCTCAGAAGGCCGCGGGACTTCTCCGGAGCTCTCGCGCCTTCGAGGCCGCCTGCGGCTTCGGGGAAGGCTCCGAACACTTCTTCGGGAGGCTATAGCTGCCCTCTGAGCCTTCCGAGAAGGCCCGTCCTCTTTGCATGCCCGCCTGGGCTCGCAGGCGCGCCTTCTGAGGAGCAGCCTTTGGCTCGAGACCCCTCCCCATTCGGCAGCAGATCGTGGGAGCCTCGTATACCCTCGCGATTCCGCCTTCAGACTGCGTTCGTGTCGGCTAGTGTGTGGTATTCGATCGGACAACGGCGAATTTGCGTCGATTCGCGTCAATTCAGCGCCGACGAGCGTCAATTCGCAAGAGAGCCAACACGATGGTATGGAAGGCCCCCAGGAGTTGCCTCCGAACCTCCCCTCCCCAAAGGAGGAGCTTGCGAAGTTCTCCTCGCAGCGCGAGAAGGAGGCCGGCCTGCGCCACTACTCCCCCCCGGGCGCGGTCGGCGAGGCGACAATGATGCTGACGCTGCGGCGCCAGGCGGGGCGCGGCTCGAGAGAGGAGGGTGGCGAGTCCCTCGGTGCGGGCACCAGTCCTCCCAGCTGCGGGTAGCATCTGTATCCATATACCCATCTGTCGATGGAAGTAAGTATTTCTGGAGTCCCAGATTCCAATGTATTTTAAGCGCCTTCCTAGTGCAATGATCGAGTGGCTTCACCTTTTTCCGTCCCCCTTAGGGGGCGGACGGACACCCAATCTATTTTCAACGCCTTCCTACTTAATGTTTCATGTTTCTACCTACTTCATGTTTAAACCCTCCAGACCCGCCCTCTTCGTCTTCGATCGTACCCCCTTTGGTGTATGTCTTTCTTACCTGCAACGTGTATTTCGTGCAGCCCTTAAGGCAGGGGAAGAGAGAACGGATGGAACGAAGGGACAAGGGGGAGGGAGAAGGATGAATCACGAAAGGGAGTAGCGGGAAGGGGGGCTAGAAGGAGAAAACACGTGGCAGAACCAGACGGGCAGATCGAGTGGGTAGACCTTAACAGGCGAGTCGGGAAGGCGGGCTCAGGCGGCCAGGTCGAGCAGGCGGGTTGCTGAAGCGTGCGTCCTGCATGAATCGCCATATATCTCCCGAGGTTCGGGGCGGACAGGGGAGCGGACCCGGGAGGACGTTGACGGTTGTGTTGAATGGTGACGTCGACGATGAACCTCAGTGCGTCGGCTGTTGTCCTGGACCAGGAAGTTTCGAACGACAGCGCGATTCCCAAATAAGCCGTGAGGAAATCCAGGGCGAGAGAGTGATTCTTGAGTGTCGAGGGCGCGGCGCCTGACAATAGGGAGGAAGTCCCACGCGAGACCGCAATCTCTGCATACATTGTGAGGAAGTCCCACGAGAAAGCGCGATGCTGGAACACGTCATGAAGAAGTATCAGGCGGGAGCCGTTGTTGTAACTCGGCGGCCAGGGGGGCAGTTTGGTGACCCCTCGCTTGCGCATGGAAAAACAGAGTGCGAGCCCCAGGAAGGGTACTTCAGAGGAACATAGCACAGGGTGCCTCCCCAGAGGGGGGGGATCAACAATACGAATTCTTCACACCGCACGACGACGCTTCTACGCAGATGCGGGAAAGGATGAGCACCGTGACGAGGAGGAGTAGGAGGACAGGGGGAGGAGGAGGAGGAGGAGGAGGAGGAGGAGGAGGAGGAGGAGGAGGAGGATGCGGAGCGGGAGGAGATGGGGGAGGATGGGGTTTGGCAGGAAGGAGGAGGGGGAGGAGGTCCACATCATCCTTCTCTCGCCCTTCCCCCCCCCTTGCAGATCATGAGGGTGAAGCGCGTGGAGAGGCGAGCGGCGGTAGCGGAGCTGCTGTACCTGATGGTGCTGGGCTCGGCGGATCCCCTCAACCCCGCCTCGCTGCCGCAAACATCACGACCAGAGCTCCTTTTGTACTTTCCTGGCTCCAGTCGCCATCGCCGTGCCCAGGACCGTCGTAAAACAACCAGGGGTGGAGGGTCGCAGGGAAAGGGTCTAGTTCTCTGGGGGGTCGACGTTGGACAAAGACAACCTGGTCAGGCAGGCGGACCCCGACGGGCGTGTCGGGCGGGCGGGGCATCCAAGCGGGCGGGAGGGCTCGAACTTCGCGAGCGGGTGGACCCTGACGGGCAGGTCGGGCGGTCGGACCCCAAAGGGCGGGTCGGGTTGTCGGATCCGAACGGATCGGGCGGGCGGACCTTGGCGAGCGGGTCGCGTAGGACATTGAAGCGGCCAGGCGTGCTTCCAAGCACGGTCGGATCAGACGGGCGGCGCAGTGAAGCGAAAGACTTGAATTGCGAAGAAGCCTTGGGCGAGAGCACAAGTCATGCGTTAATTGTAACGTGGAGGTCTCGCGCGAGAGCGGGATTCCTGGGCGTCGAGGCCGCAACGCCCTTGGTAAAATGCGAGGAAATCCCACGCGTGAGCGCGAATTGCGAAGAAAAAGTTGAGGAAGTCTCGAGCGAGAGCGCTACTACACACATTGTGACAAATACAGCGGGAGCCGTTGTTGTGGTAGTCTGGGGCCAGCGACCCAGTTTGTGGACGAAAGAACAGGGTGTGAGCCGGGGGGGGCACTTCAATAGAAAAACAGTGCGCGCCGGACAGTGGAGATCAAGTGTATTTGTTCTTCAGGAGTGAGATTGCAATCCGCACCGCTGAACCCCACGTCAGTTACGCACCAAGGAATTATGCAAGAGCGTTCGACCCCCTCCCTCTGATAAGTGCAGCCGGGAAGCCAGTCCATGTTTTCCAAGCAATGCAGGCTCCCCCTCCACCGCCGCTTCTGCAAGGCATCTCGGCCAGCTATCGCCCTGCACTCCCCTTGGACACTCTTTGCGTATCCACCGCTCGTGCGGTCTACCTCGTCTCCGCGTCTCGCCGCGGCGAGGCAATGAGGTATTCCCGGTGGCGAGACGCAGCGCCCGGCGGCGCTGCCATTCGGGACCGACGAGATGATTCTAATCGGCTCAATCTCTCGGTATTCAACCAATGAGCTTAGCTTTTTTGCTGGAGCATCTGTCGATTGTTGCCAGGTTTGTCTATGCTGACGTGTCCATGCGGTACGCCTGAAACTCTTCCTGAGCACCTGGCCTGATACGCGATGGGTTCGAGCGGGATGGTGGCACATACAGGCAGGATCCATTCCACGATATTGCAAATCGCATGATGTGGGCGGCGAGACTGCGAGATACGTCCTTCCGCTGGCGGATCGCGCGTTTATCCAGCAGAGTGCGCGCAATGGAAATACATCGAACCTTGCTCACTAGACTCGTTGTCTGCACACGGAGCGCCTCATGAGTCGACCGAGGTGTGCAGCAGGTTCAAGCTGCTCGACGTGCACTTCCTGCCGTCCATGCGACCTCACATAGCGGGCAGCAGGGTGACCTCGATCCAGGCGTCACCCGAGCAGCAAACATCGGCATGTGCGCCATCATCACAACCTGTCGGAGTTCCGCGCGGATTTCTTGGATCTGCACCGGGCCCCCTGGCGGCGCTCCCAGTGCTGTCCCTGGCGCGCTCCGCGCGACAGGGGGAGGAGGGTCAAGCGCAGATCCAAGAAATCCGCACAACGTTCCGAATGTTTAGGTTTACCGATTTGTGTTGCTCTTCTAGTTTCTCTGGCGCATCATTCGCCCTTTGTTTATGACGTAGCAGCTCCGCTTGCCATCCCCATATAACTCCAACGCACGTAGCTTTCGCATGTGCTCCTCTCCCTGGCAGCCAGTTTCATCTCAGGATCATCGTAGCAAAGGAACGTGTAGCAACAGTACAGTGGGGGCGCGTGCCAAGAAACCAGTTGGATTTTGTCAGGGTGCCCTGGGTTTCTTGGACTTCGATGGGTCCCTAAAAAGATCTGGATGACTTTCGATCGACAAATTTGGATTTTCATTGAACGAATCGCGGATTTCAGGGTTGGGTTTCTTGCGGAGGTTTCTTGTGGCCGAGCCCCCAATGTACTCGGGCGGCGACTCTGATGTGCCATTCACATGCGTATGGTTACGAGCCCTTTGCGTAGCAGGTGTTTAAGTGTGATGTTAACGTCCCACGCAAAGTTATGGCTAAGGCGAGTGTGCATCGCCTGTCATCAGGGTGGCTACGAATAGCCTTCAGCCCACCCGCCATCGTGTCTTGGTAGTGGGTGGTATGAAGCCTATTGGATGTCCGTCGTTGGGATCTCGTGGGAGGCCTCTCGAGGACCACTTGGAGGCAGTTCGAAGGCGCTTTGGTGGCCGTTTTGGTGCCTCTGCGGAGCCGTTTGGGGGCTTCTAAGGACAATTTTCGAACGTCTTGGGGCCTCTGGGGGCCTCTGGGGGCCTCTGGGGGGCATCTTGGGGGCCTCTTGGGGCCCTCCTGGCCCCTGGAGGCCTCCTGGGAGCCTCTTGGGGCGGAAGGCTCGGACTTTCGATTCGTGGTCCCTCGCTTAGGCCCCTCTTGGGCCGTCTTGAGACCCTGTTGGCAGCTTTGGGGCCCTCTTGGAGACCTCGTGGGCCGTCTTGGGGCGGTCTTGGTGGCCTCTTGGGCCGTCTTGGAGCGTCGGGAAGCCCAAGAGGCGAGAACGTCAAACACTTCTCGAAAACCTGAGGACAATTAGTGATGTTTGCTTCTTGGGGCCCTTTTGCATTCCCCTTGGAGGCCTCTCGGGGCGTCTTGGAGGCCTCTTGGGCCGTATTGGGGCCATCTTGAGTGTCTTGTAGCGATCGCTCGGCCTTTCGAGGCTCTTTTGGACCGTCTTCGGGGTCTCTTGAGGCCCTCTTGGCCTGTCTTGCGGCCCTCCTCGGCCAAACAAGTCATGCGACAATCCGCGGGGGAGCCCAGGGGAACCGCGGCAAGCCCCTCGGAGATTTAAGAAATCCGGGTGCGGGCCCCTTACAGACTCTTCAGGACTGAGGTCTGAGGCTCCAGGGACTGTGCGAAGGAGCTGGGGACACGCCCACTGCGTGCCCAGAGGCACGGCTGCGGATATCAACGGGGACGGGATGACTGTGCCGTGGATGAAAGTACCATCTTGCGTTCTGTGGGGGGGGGGGCCCGACGGAGATGCGGCGGCGCGCCGACGGGGGAGCGGAGAGGGGCAGGCCCTCTCGGCTTCGGAGAGAGGGCTCGGAGGCCTTCGGAGCACTCTGAAAAAAGGCCCGCCCCTGCCCTGCGCCGTCGAGCAGCCGCCCCCTGATGCCTCGCGTTCTGACTTTTGCGCGCAGCGCGGACCCCGCTTCTCCGGACGTGTTTTTGATCCGGACTCGTTTTCCGCGCATGTTATTTGGGTGGAGGGCAAAGGGTGAAATCTAATTTTCGATTGATCTTCGAGGCTTGAATCTGCAAACGGTGAGTCACACGACGGATTGATTTTCGAGGTGCAAAAGCCCATTTGGTTTTACCCTGAGCCCTCCATCCTAAGAAAGTGCTCAGTTTTTTGAGGGCCCTGGGGCCATGCGAAGGCCCCCGGAAGTAGACAATTGGCAGACGCCGTCCGTCGGGCTTTTCAGTCACAGCGAGAGGAGGCGGGGCTTCTGCGGGGGTAACACGATGGTCGATGATCGAGGAAGCGCAAGCATGGATCAGAGCGCGTGGATTAGCGACAGGCCCCGCTCCCCTACAGAATCGTCGCTCTGCGTCGCCAGATCAGGCGACACTGTCGCTATGTTTTGGGTGTGCCTTCTCCGAGCCGTGGATCTCGCGCCCACGTGCCAGATCCACGGATCCCTAACCCATGTCAGCGTGTTGCCTGAGATGAGCAGGAAGGAACAACAAGACACACACACACACACACACACGCACGAACGTCGATTGCCATGAAACAGTGTGGGAAAACATGGGAAGTAGACGGGAAGACGGCAATCCAGGACCCATGTTGAAAGGTTCGGGAGTCTCGGGATTTGTGTACGTCCCTGGCACCTTCGGGTGAGGTTGAGCGGGGGTAACTGCCCCGCACGTGCTCGGGGCAGCCGCTCTCCCCCAGCAGCGCCTCCTCGAGGCGCCTCTGCACGCTCCGTGGACCCCCCGGAGGGCGCCTCTCTCTCTCTTTCTCCCTCTTTCCTCTGGCGCAGGGCGGGAGGACTGGGCGAGGAAAAAGGGAGGGAAGAGGAGGGAAGGAATGAAGGGGAGGAGGCAGAGGAGAGGGATGAGGAGGAGGGGAGGTGGAGGAAGAGGAGGAGGAGGAGGAGGAGGAGGTGGAGGAAGTCTTCCTGCTCCTTCTCCTCCTCCTTCTCCTCCTCTGCCTCCTCCTCCTCCTCTTCAGCCTTCACCTCCTCCTCCCCCTTCTCTTCCGCCTCCTCTCTCTCCCCTTTCCCTCACCCCTAGTCCTCAGTCACCTTCTGAGGAGGCGGCTAAGGGGGGGGGAAGACGAAATGGAGGAGAAGGAGGAGGAGGAGGAGGAGGAAGAGGAGGAAGAGGAGGAGGAGGAGGAGGAGGAGGGAGGAGGAGGAGGAGGAGGAGGATTAGGAGGAGGAGGAGGAGGAGGAGGAGGAGGAGGAGGAGGAGGAGGAGGAGGGGGGGGAGAGAGAGAGAGAGGGAGGGAGGGAGGGAGGGAGGGAGGGAGGATGGGGGAAAGAGGACGAGGAGCGAGGGAGAGGGAGGGGAAGGCGGAGGGGGCGGAGGACGAGAAGGAGTGTACCTAGGATGGGGACGGGGGTGCCTGCCACCTCCGAGGGGAAAGCTCGAGGAGCAGGACGAGGAGCGGCGGCGAGCGAGGGGACGAAGTGAGAGGGGGTGGGCCTTCTCAGAAGGCCCGGAAATTCCCAGGCCCTCTGAGAGATGCTCCAAACCTTCCCCGAGAACACAAAAACCTTCTCAGAAACCCCACCGCATTCTGAGAAGGCCTCTCCTTCTCACTTCCCCCCCTCGCTCGCCGCCGAGAGGAGAACCGGGATCTCCGATGTCGTGATTTCTGTGGCAGCGCGGACCCCCACAGAAGTCTAGATCCCTTCCCCCAGGACTGGCTTTTCATCCTGGGCGGGTTTTTGGCGGTGCCCAGATTTGAGATTTGGCAATGCCGCCCGTCGGTCGCGCTTTCTGCACGACGCGAGGATGTCAGTGGGAGGAGGGTTAGATGTCAAATCATGGGAGCATTGTGTACCTCGCCATGCGGGAAGCGGTCCTGAGGGAAGCGCGTCCTGATGTCTGTCACCGTCTCTTGGCTTCCTGTGGCCTCCCGCGGGCCCCGGGAAGAGCGTGTCTTGGGGGAAGGCTCCCGGGTCCAGGGCATGTTTCCCTCTGGACCCGTGTCTTCCGTGTTGATTGCATCTTTTCGGGAATCCGCCTTTAGAGTGCATTCGCGTCGATCAGCGTCTGGCGTTCGGTACTCGATGAGATAGCGTCGATCTACTGTGGGCTAGCGTCGATCAGCGTCGACTCAGCGCCGATCAGTGTCGAGCACCGTCGATGGACAAGATCGAGCAAGATTGTATGGGAGGCTTCCATGATCGGGGAACCGTAAGACTCGAGAAAGCCGGCACTCGTTTTTGTCGACGTTTTTCGACCAGCGCATCCTGGATTTTGACGGTCTGATTTCCGTGGGATCTTTGCAGCGGGAGGTCGCGTCGAATTTCATGTTGGTTCTCGTCATTTGTTGGATGGCCCCTGTCAGGCCAACCCGAGTCCCCCGTACCCGAGTCTTTCGTCTCCCCGACATGAGTTGCCGCAGAAGGAGTCAGGGGCGGCCTCTCCGACCCCTCGCAAAGCATCCTCTTCCGTGACGCCCCCCTCGCCTCGCCCCGAGACGTGTGTGCACGGCCGGAGGGAAGTGGGAGAGGTGAGGGGGACGTCGCGGAAGGGGATGGCTTGCGAGGGGTCAGTGAGGCCACGCCCGAAGGAGGAGGGTGGTCGGGTTGGAATCCGGGGACAGGGCAGAGTAGTTGGCCGACTCGGGCAAAAAAGGACCATGTGAGGACTCTTCGGGCCGGCTTTTCGCAGAGCGACTCGTAGCGCTTCCCCGGTGGCGAAGCTGCGGAAGCTGAGGGTGATGCGGGATCCACTCCTGGGCCTTAGCTGACCAGCAAACATCTCGACGGACGAATACCCTCGTGGAGCTCGGGCCCGGCGGAGGGCGAGCGACACAACTCTCGACGGACGAATACAGTCGGGGCCCTGAAGAAGGAACCCTTTTCGTTGGGGAAGGGCTCCGCGTTCCTTAAGTGTTTCGCAGCTTGCCCCAGGTTTTCCCTATGCTGTCGGCCGGAGATCGAAGTTTATAGCTTATGGACAAAAAGGGGCCTCGTTCCTTGTTTTGGGCTCCTTTGGTCAAGGCCCCGACTGTACCTCGCGGAGCTCGGGCCCGGCGGAGGCCGAGGCGCCGCGGGCCCGCAGGCTCGAAAGGGGGAGGAGGAGGAGGAGGAGGAGGAGGAGGAGGAGGAGGAGGAGGAGGGGATACTGGAGGGAGGAGGAGGATGGCGCCCGCAGGCCGAGGGGCGCCAGTGGGGCCTGACGGACATCCCGTGGCGCCTGGCGGCGCGGCGCGGCCGCCGCTGCCCCCCCCCCTCCGGGCATCGGGGCCCCCTTCTCTTCCTCATCCAGCATCTCTCCTCCTCCTCCTCCTCCTCCTCCTCCTCCTCTCCTCCTCCTCCTACCTCCTCCTCCTCCTCCTCCTCCTCCTCCCCCTGCTCCTCCTCCTCCTCCTCCTCCTCCTCCTCCTCCTCCTCCTCCTCCTCCTCCTCCTCCTCCTCCTCCTCCTCCCCCCACTCCTACCTCCTCTCCTCCTCCTCCTCCTCCTCCTCCTCCCCCCACTCCTACCTCCTCTCCTCCTGCTCCTCCTCCTCCGGGCCCTTAGCCCCCCTCTTCCCCCCTGGAGATCCGACGCTCCGACAGAAATTTGAGCAGGCGGTTTTTGGCCGTTCTCGGCCTCTGGAGGCCCTTGCTGGGCCTGGGGGCAGTGGCCTGGACATCCAGGGCCCTCCCCCGAGAGCGGCCTTGAAGGGCCCCTGCTGGCTCCAAGAGGGGCGCCTAAGGGCCCCCTTTAGGGTCCTTCTGTGCACCCCCACTCAGGTCACCTCCACTAATTACCACCCGCCCGACTCTGAAGCTCTGAAGCTCCACTCTGAGCGGCTTTCTTCAACTCCACTCTGAAGCTCTGAAGCTCTTCAACTCCACTCCAGGTTTCTTTTTGCCGAGCTCTGAAGCGGCCACTCCGCTGAGGCGTCACTCGGAGACAGAGAAGCAGAGCGAGGGGAGAGGCGGCAGCTGAGGAGAGGGAGGGAGGGAGACAGGAAAGGATGGATGAGTAGCAGGAGGAGCTTGAGAAGTAGGAGGCGGCGGAGGAGGACGAGGGGGAGGAGGAGGAGGAGGAGGAGGAGGAGGAGGAGGAGGAGGAGGAGGAGGAGGAGGAGGAGGAGGTCGAAGTGGGGGGAGAATGGAATAGAAAGGGTCCCATCGCGATGCGATATGAATGGGACATATACTCTACACTACGTGTAGACCTCCTCCAGCGCCGATGTGACCCAGAACAGGAACCCGAGAACAGGACCACGCAGAGGCCGTGCACGAAGGAGAGGTGGCAACACGTCAGCCGTGCCGGCAATTCGCTGAGCCCGAGCTGCCAAGCAAGGCATCGGCGTGTTGGAGGAGCCACGCACGCTCCGCGCTGACCGCCCATATCGCTCGGCAGCCGACAGGGGCAGGGGCGGCCGCCGACACATCGCCGTCCCGAGCTCGTGCAGCAGCGTACCGACGTCCGCGCTGGCACCTCCATCGCAAGCGCCTTCACGACGAGCCTGAACACCAGGGTCTTCAGCGTCAGGCCCTCCTCCTCCTCCTCCTCCTCCTCCTCCTCCTCCTCCTCCTCCTCCTCCTCCCCCCTCCTCCTCTCTCCCTGCCTCCTCCTCCTGCTCCTCCTCCTCCTCCTCCTCCTCCTCCTCCTCCTCCTCCTCCTCCTCCTCCTCCCCCTCCTCCTGCTCCCTACCCTCCTACTCCTCCTCCTCCTCCTCCTCCTCCTCCTCCTCCTCCTCCTCCTCCTCCTCCTCCTCCTCCTCCTCCTCCTCCCCCTCCTGCTGCTGGCTGCGCGACCGCCTCCACCACGTCTGGGGCAGTCATCCCCCGTTAGGGGCCCCGTGGGAGGGGGTGCGGCAGCGAGTAGCGCCCCAGCAGCATCGGGAGCGGCAGCTCCCTCGGCCCGAAGACCCTCGGCACCAGCAGGCGGGCGGAGAGGATCGGCTACTCCTGCATCAAAGGCCTCCTCCGCCACATCCTCATGAACATCAGCACCTTCTGATTTGCCCGGCGGGTCCTGGACGCAGGCCGCCATTGCACCAGCGGGAGCTGCACTTCCCTCGTCCCAATGTCCATCGGCACCAGCAGGTAGACGATCGCCCGCTCCTCCAGCGACCACCTCCTTCGCCGCATTCACGGCCGCCTCGGCAGGTGCGCCCATGTCGAGGTTTCTGTCGGCTGCGACCTCGGAGGTGCCGTCAAGCCAAGGACCGCCAACTCCTCCCAGAAATTCTCCATCTCCGCCAGCGCCTTCGCACCGGGCGCGGGCAGTCAGAGCGTCGCGCAGCGCCTCGCCCAGCAAGGTGAGCGACTGTCCGCGATGGCTGCGTACCTCATCGAAGGCGGCGAGGAGGTGGAGGGCGTCGCGGCCATGCGCCCGCGCCTGCTGCTCGCGGCGCTCCGCCGCAGAGCGAACGGGCCGCCGAGGCCGCCGCGCAGAGCCCAGGTCCATCCTACGCGGAGGCGGCGGGGGGATGCCCGAGGAGAGCGGCGGCACGCTCGGCGGAGGAGGAGTGGGGCGGCGCAGGAGGGCGGCGGGGGATGCCCGAGGGGAGCGGCGGCGCGCTCGGCGGAGGAGGAGTGGGGCGGCGCAGGAGGGCGCCCGTGGCGCGGGCCCGGGGGCCCAGGGTAGGGGCCGAGCTGGCGCTCAAAAGGGGGGTGGAGGGGCGAGGAACGGGGGCTGGGGCAGAGTGAGGGGGCTGGGGGGACGAGGAGGCCCGACAGGAGGGATGGAGGGGAGCGGGGAGGGACCGAGAGGGGGCCTGGGGGGGGCCACGGGGCCCGCCGAGCATGGTGGGCCGTCGGCTCTACTCGCTGGAGGCCCTGGAGCTCGTCAGGGACCACCTGCTGAGGACCGCGGGTCGCGGAGCCGCCGCCGCGAGACCGCTCGGGTCCCGCCCCACCTCCCCCTTGAACCCGACCTCCTCCTCCTCCTCCTCCTCCTCCTCCTCCTCCTCCTCCTCCTCCTCCTCCTCCTCCTCCTCCTCCTCCCTCCCCCCTCCCCCTCCTCCTCCTCCAGTGCCCCTCCTCCTCCTCCTCCTCCTCCTCCTCCTCCTCGCCGCGACTTCTGGTAGTGCCTCCTCCTCCTCCTCCTCTCCTCTGCTCCTCAATTCCTCCTACGTTTCCTCCTCATCCTCCTCTTCTTCCTCCTCATCCTCCTTCTCCTTGTCCTTCATTTCATCTCCTGTGTCTCCGCCTTCTCCTCCGCTGTCTCTCAGGGAGCCACCCAGAGAGCAGCCCAATGGACGAGGCATCTCCGACGCCTTGAGAAGATCAAGGCCAATGCAGTTCACAACATTCGGCCTCTTGGCCGGGCTTTGGTCGGCGCCGCGCCCGTGGGGGAAGTGAGAGGAAGAAGGCCTTCTCAGAAGGTGGCGGCGCTTCTCAAAAGCCCCCGCGCCTTCTGAGGTGTGTTTCCAGTGTCTTCGGCAGGCTCAGAGCACTCCTCAGAACACTGCGAAGGCCCTCCGAGCCTTCTGAGAAGGTCCGTCCCCTGTCGTCTTCCCCCCTCTCGTTTCCACTCGCCCGGGGCCGCCGGCAAGCGGTTAGGGTCAAGAAGCCGGTCCTGGGGAAGGTGTTGGGGTTTTCGATCGGGTGGTACAGTCGGGGCCCTGAAGAAGGAACCTTTTTCGTTGGGGAGGGGCTCCGCGTTCCTTAAGTGTTTCACAGCTTGCCTCAGGCTTTCCTTCAGTTTTCGACGGGAAATCGAAGGTTAACTTATGGAAAAAAGGGGCCTCGTTCCTTATTTAGGGTTCCTTAGGTCAACGCCCCGACTGTAATACATGGGAGATGCCACCCCCGCCCAAGGGGGCCCCTCGTAGGGAAGAAGCGTCCCTCACCAGATCTCCCCGGGTAGAGCCGGGAGGCCTGGCACCAGAGAGCCAGTGGGTTTTCGAACGAAGAAGAACAAGTCGCTACGACATAAACTTGTGGCGTTTCGTGCGGATCTCTTGGATCTCGCTGGGCCCCCCCCAGGGGCGCTTCTGGCGCCGCCCCTGGCGCGCTCCGCACGCCAGGGAGGGGGATGCAGCGCAGATCCAAGAAATCCGCGTGGAGCGCCAACAGTTTTCTTTATGCAGTTGGTTCCTCTTCTGGGCTGGGGAGCCTCTGGTGATCTGGCTGCCTGTGAGATTGTTGCGGGCGAAGAACGGTACAGCATAGTTTTGTTCCGCCGGCTGGGGCGCCTGCCCCCCGGGAAACTGCAAAGTTTATACCGCTAATTTCGGTGCCAAGTTTCTTTTCCCCTCCTGTAGATCGGGTGTTGCCAGAGGCGGCCGTGTGCGCCAATCTTGTGTCGGGAGGCGCCGACGGCTCAGCCAGCAGCGTTGCAAGCCTGGGTCTTCGGCCTGCGGCTCTTGTCGTTTCGCAGCGCCTGTTCTGGGCAGGCGGTAATTACTGCCCAGAGCGGGGCGACGACGAACGCGCATGCGGGAGGCCGGGGCCGGCGGGACGAGGCCGGCGGACGCTTCCGGGGGGAGGCGGAGCTTGCTTCCAGAGCACCCCTCACGAGGCCCGAGACAGAGGGGCCCCACAGTGGTGGCAAGAGAGGTTGAGGACGTCTTGGCCCAGGAGCACGTCCAGCAGCCCCCTGCGAGCGTGACCCGTCGCCGGAGTGGCTTTTTGGTGTGGGCCCACCAGGTTCACCCCCGCCGCCGGGTGCGGCGCGACGGCAGCGGCTTGCGCGGTTCGGTTTGCCCCCCCCGCGCGCCCCTCTGTTTTCGCAGGGAGCCCTGCATCAAAGGTCACTCGTCCCTAGGGTCACGATCTATGCTGGTGGGTGAGGGGGGTGTCGTAGCCCAGAGCCCCGGCGTCTGATGCTTGCATGACCTCGAGCCCCGGAAGTCTCGACGCACGCCCCAGGACAGGCGTTTCTGCTGACGGTCTCGCGGCCCGGCGAGGACCCCCAGAGGCCGAATTCAGCGAAGGCCCTCCCATTATTGCGTTGTCCCGATCCGAAGGGGTCCTGGGAGCAGCGCCGGAGGAGGCGGGGTCGGGCCTCATGCCTCGTGCTCGCATGGAGTGATGTGCCACCCTTGCTCGGCAGGGAAGAGGAGTACCGTGCCGTTTTGAATACATGCTCCGCGTGCGGATGTCTTTTAAACTTTCAGGGGGTTAGTATTAAAAGCAACGAGGAGTTCATGCATACATTTATTCATAGATCAATCATGCACGAAACATCCCATGTGTTTTCTCTTCTTAGAAAAATAAAAAAGAAGAAACAACATGTTTAACAACAAAAAAACGCCCTGTATCAATGACACGCTGCCGTGGGGAGCCCGTTAGCGCGGTGTCGTTCCGAGGGCGGGGTGCTTCTTCTTCAGCGGCCACGCGCGGGTGGGCTCCCCACGGCGGCCCCGTCATCGATGCTGTCTATGCTCCCCCCACTTGCCAGGAGGGGGCAAAACACACAGACACAATTCATCGTCCATTCCCAGGAAAAGATTGGAAAATATGGGAAGTGGGGGGGGGGAGACAAACAAACAACAGGAAAAAATGTGAAAATACAGGGAATCGTTTTATTTGTATGTATTTTTTGTGTGTCCCAGGGCCCCTTCACACTTGCCCATGCAGCTGGGGCCGCGGTGTCCGCATGGTGTGCCCCCCATCCCCCCCTCCTGGGGGCTCGCAGAGGCGGCGCCCTGAGAGCGCCCTCGTCGCCTCGTGTTCTCACCAGCTCAGCGACGGGAGAGAACGATGCCATTTCTGCCGACACTGGCGCAGAAGCAGCCCGCGTACGATCGCGCGCAAGGTCGCCGTGCCATCGCGCGTATAAGACCCGTTCCTTCTCGTCGCTCCTCTGACTCTTCATCCTCGTCCCTGCAGCTGGGGCCGCCGTGTTAGCGGGCAGGGGGAGCATCGTCCTCCGCTGCGACTGTAGGGGACGACGAAGGCGCTCTGCGGGCGCAGCCCTGGGGCGCCCCCGAGAGAGAGAGGACGCGTCGAAGGCTCCCTCTCTGGTCTCGCCTCCTCCGGAGAGGCACCTCGCCAGGGATCCGGCTTCCCCTCCTCCTCCTCCTCCTCCTCCTCCTCCTCCTCCTCCTTCCCCTCCTCATCCTCCTCCTTCCCCTCCTCCTCCTCCTCCTGCTCATCCTCCTCCTTCTCCTCCTCCTCCTCCCTCCTCCTCCTCTTCCTCCTCCTCCTCTCTCTCCTCCTCCTCCCCCCGCTGGTGCCACTGTCGAACCGCCCCTCCACCCCACCCTCGGGGGCAGCCAAGAGGGGTGTGATGACCAGGAGGGGTGGATCTCATGGCGGCAGCCTGATTTCATGGCGACTCTTCTTATTTCAAGACGTCCCCGGCCCCCTCTGGCCCGCACACTTGCCGCCGGCCAGGGCTTTCGACCCTCCCTCTTGGACGCCCCCCTCTTCAGGCGCCCCCGACTCCAGCCCACCCTGGAGCGTGCTGCATTCCCGGGGGAGCAGCAGCAGCAAGGACGCGCAGCCGCGGGGAATCCATCAGCGTGGCAACTATTGCCGACGCGTCATCCTGGCCTCGGGCGACATCGGATGGGTGACGTGCTGGCGGGCTCCGTCGACAGGTCATCGACAAGGCCCCGTCCCTTCCCAATTCTTTCCTGGCGGCCCGCCGACGAGGTAGGCGGTGGGGGGGGGGGTGGGGGCCGCAGCAACCACGGCGAGGATGCTGGACTCCTCCCGCATGGCCACGCGCGAGGCGGGGGCGATGCGGCTCGCCCTGTTCCAGGCGGGCCAGACGTACGCGATGTCCATGCTGTTCGGGCGCCCCTGGGGGGGGCTCCCTCCGCAGGTCTGGGCGCTGCAACGGTTTCACACCTGGCGCTTTCGCCCCGTCTCGCGGGTCTTGGGGCCATCACAGATCGATCCGGGGCGAAACATAATGCAGGCAAATCGCCTCAGAACGTTTCCAGAGCGTTCTGGGAGTGCGCTCGAACGGCCACGGTGCCCGATGCATCCTCCAGAACCGCCAGATCTCAGAGATCCCCGATTGATCGTTGTCCGAACATGTCCTTGTCCTGGCTTCGTCTTAGCATAGGGCTGCGGTCGTGATTTTTCGCGGCGTTGCATTATGTTTGCAGCGACAGGTCCAAAGGGAAGGGGGGAGTCACCTCCTGGCGGGGCTGCGGACCCAGGCTGCTCGCACAGCGCCGTGCGCGCAACAGGATGTACTCTCTCTCTCTCTCGCCCATGCGCTGCTTGCCTTCGAGCATCGCTCGGCGGCGAAATCCGAGCACACGCAGTGCCGAGAGGTTTTGGCCCCACGGGGCCAGAGGGGTGTCCCCCCCAGCCCGCGTGCGAAATTCACACTTGCGCACAGCCCCGATACTAGAATGTCGAGCGCTGCACGGCGCGCGTTACCATTGACCTCGTATTGTAGATATACGATTGTCAGAGGTAGTAGTTGTGCACGCGTGTCTCACACAGTGCATAGCTGCGTACTCCCAGCACACGCGCAAGGCCGAGTCCTATCCTATCCTATCCTCCTCCTCCTCCTCCTCCGCGTCGACCCTCCGCTCTCCCTCCCCCCGCCACGTTATCTTCGATCGCTGCAGCGGGAGAAAGGGCCGCCTGCCGCGGCGGCGCGGGGCGCGCGCCGCGCGCGGGCGCGCAGGTACTACCTGCGCCGCATGGACGCCAGGCGCCCCGGGCTTGACGCGGGACCGCCGGCCGCGGCCGCCGCTGCGCAACGGGGGGGAGGGGGTGTTGGTCAGAGGCGACGAGAGGGGCGAATAGCCCAGGGGAGAGCAATACGTGTATTCAGGTGTGCCGATGATCCATGTCTTCGAAAAGGCTCCCGGGCGAATACGCGTAATGCCCGCCCCTGGGCTATTCGCCCCTATCGTCGCCGCCGAGTTGGGGGGGAGAATGAGATTTGGCGTCGCCCAAAAATTGCCACGTCGCCAAAGCTCATGGGCGGAATCATAGGCCCCACGTCTCGGCACCGCGATCGAGCGGGATCGATCTGCGAAGGTCGGGTGGTGGTTGGAATCTGGGCGAAAACGCCCGTTGTGAAACAAACATGTCGCGAGGTCTCATGGGATGTTCAGGTTGGTTGGACGATCGTTGTCTTTGGGCGGTTTCGTCGTCTCTCGCTGGTTTTCTGGCCTCGCGGTGTTTTTTCCAGCACCCGCGCTGAGCTGAGAGCTCTTGTCGAGCGGCTGCCAGGGAAGGGAGCTATGACACGGAAGCCCATATCCAATCCTACGGGGAGGGGGGGGGGAAAGGTTCAGGGACTGGCACATCGATCCTCGCTTGCCCATTCGTTTCCGACTGGGGTCCGATGGCCCGCTGGGCCATCCCGCCCGAGAGCGTGCGATTTCGCTGTCGGGGGCCCGCCGCCGACTTGCCAGCGATGTGTCGCCGAGTACAGCTCGAGGCTTCCCCTCCGCGTCCGCCCCCTCCTCACATCCCCCCCGATTGTGCGCAAGGTCCGTGTCGTGGCGACGCGTCCGCGACCCCAGGGCCGGCAAGGCTGACCGCCGGCAGTGCGCAGACTCGGCGGTTGCCGAGCGATGTGTCGGCGATGTATCGCCGGGTCAAGTGTTCGCCGCGTCCCCACCTCCGAGCCAGCCCCCCCCCCGTCGTTCCGCTGCAACCACGGGGCCGCTGCCGCTGCTGCGCCAGCGTCGCTGTCATTTCCAGCTTCCCTTCTGGGTTCAGTATCGTTCAACCGACCCCTTCCCCCGTTGGGCCATGGTAGTTCAGCCCCACACATCCCACCCCTCTGGATGGGGACACAGGCCATCGAAGCCCGAATGGAACGGCCGAAATCCCCCATCTGGGGGGTTAGATCCGCCAGCGAGACCCAGGCCACGACAGTGGGGAATGGGGTCGGTTAACCTTCGAGGAGGCAAATCTAACCCCCAGTGCATTGAAACAAATTCGACTGAGTTGTTCGGTCGTTTTTGGTGTCGGGGGGGCCCTAGCCGGGCCTCGCGACCGACAAATACAGGATCCATGAAGAAAAAGTGGTCCATGGGAAGTGGTCCAGTGGTGCACGAGAAATATCCAGCGATGCCCTTGTCGCCACGGCTGGATTCGGTTTGAAATCCTGGTCAGTTTGCGTCCCAGGGAATCCACGGGGCAGCGGTATCGGGTTCTTCTGGTTCGCCCATCGGGGGCGGTGAGTTGCCAAAGCTGTCCTTGGCCTCAGAGTGTCCTCAGGATCTCCAGGTGGGCCCGCGCGACCCCCTGAGGCCAGCAGGGCCCAGGAGGGCTCCGAATGGCGCGAGAAGCCGCGAGCGATCGAGTGCTCGTGGGGCGCGCGGCCACGGTCATCAGCAATGGCAGTTGGGACGCCAATTGTTCACGCTTCGCGAATCCCCACCAGCCCATCCTAAAACAGCCACTTTAGCAAAGAGTACCAACTGTCGGGATTTGTTGGTCATCTTTTCAGCAATGATGCCCAGAGGAGTTGCTTTGATTCGATCAGGGAAGTGTGGGAGGATACAGAGAAACGAAGGACAGGGGATGCCGCCATATCCCAAGAGGGGAGGATGGAGGAGGAATCGGAGGAGGAGGTGGGGGAGGGGAGGAGGGAGGAGGAAGAGGGGGAGGCGGACGAGGAGGGGAGGACGAGCAGAAGGGCCAGAGGCCTCTTGGATGCATCGCGGAGTCTCTTGGGATGTCTTTTGGGAGCCTCTTGGAGGCCTTTTGGGGCGTCTTGGGGGCCTCTTGGCGGCCCCAGGGGCTTCTAGGAGCGTCTTGGGTGCCTTGGGGGAGCCTCTTCGGGCCTCTTGGGAGCCTCTTGGAGGCCGTTTGGGGCGTCTTGGGGGCCTCTTGGCGGCCCCAGGGGCTTCCAGGAGCGTCTTGGGTGCCTCGGGGGAGCCTCTTGGGGCCTCTTGGGGGCCTCTTGGGGGCATCTTGGGGGCCTCTTGGAGGCCTCTTGGGGCCTCTTGGGGCTCTTTGGGAGGGGCCTGGGAGGTATCTTGGGGCCATCTTTCGGGCGATCGATCACAGATGGGGCGAGCATTTTTCTCCCTCCCCCCGTCGGGGCCACGATCCTCGTGAGGGGTGTCGAATTTTAGCCCTCCCAGGAGTCGAAACAGACCCCTCCAACGACCCGCGGAAGGACCTCTCCAGGCCCAGGGGGAGGGGGTAGGGGGAGGGGTAAACCCCTCCCCGAAGGGGAAGAAGGGGGTTGAGAACAGAGCGGGCTCTCTAAACCACTCACGCCCAAAGGGCTGGTGGGACTTGGCGATCGCACTGCTGCACGCCATCGCCAGCGCTCCAGCGGCTGAGTGGGCCCGCGCATTAGGAATGCCCGACGCAGCGCGCATCCGGCTGGGGAAACCTCAGGCCTGCACCACAGTTGGCAACCTCGGATCGGGGAGGGAGGGGGAACAGGGGTTACGAACACTGCCGCATGCAGTTGGTTTCGGCGCCGTATCAGGGCAACCCCCTCGATCCATGGCCGTCTCCAGCGCTCGAACACCAGGTGCATGAAGCCGAGCTGCTAATCCTCTTTACCATTCCCATGATACATCCGGGCTCTCCCATGTCTCAAACGTAGAGATGGCCAGTTCATATGAGTTTGGTCATCCAGCTGGGTTACTTGATCAACTATTGGAAGAATCCCTGGCCCGCGTCGCAGATGGAACGGATCAGTTTGTGATGACGTCCACATCCGAGGTGGGAATTGATCCACCACCACTGCCTACCGGATCGACCTTCAGGGATCTCGCCAGGCGGTGGGCATGGATACATTCGGGCCCCCGGGGTAGTCAAATGTATCCATGTCCGCGTCCTGCCGAGGTCCCCGAAGATCGATCCCCCAGGGGGGATAAGGAGAAGTCCTCGCACCAGCGTGGGCAGTGTCCTGTGACCTCTTTCGAGCGAGGCTGGGGCTCCAGACGAAGAAGAAGAAGAAGAAACGCACAACCAGACATTGCTGCAAGTAGTTTCGCAGCAACAGCTTACCGCCGACTGCCCGCACGGCGTCCAAGATGCAGGCATGGCGCCCTTGCAGCGCATCGTCCACCGCAGCTGGGACGCAGCATGTTGGGCGGGGCGAGGACCGAGACAACTCGTTCCAGAGCGTCCAGAGCTCTCCAGAACGGCCGATACCTCCTCCAGAACCGTCCGATCTCAGAGTTCGCCGATTTGTCCCAGGCTGAGTTTGTCCCCGTCCCGGCTTCGTCTGAGCGTGCGTTTTGGCAGATGGCGGAGCCTGCGCAGTGTTATGGCGAAGTAAGTTCTGCCCCGAGGCGCCAAGAGAGGCTCCACCTTAGCTTGGGGAGGGGGGGCGAACGATCGCCCGCCCCTGCCGACGTCCACCTCTGACCAAGGGGAGCGTTCCGTGTGCCCCTTTCACGCTGTCCTCCGCGCTGGCACCCCTTCCCCCTTGTTCCCCCTCGTGCACGCGGGCCAATTCGCTTTTGGGTCGCCCTGAATCGCCACCCGCTGGAGCAGCTTCTCTTCCTCACCGCCGACGAAACAAGTGCCAGTTTCACGCGTTTGGGGGCCCGGGACGGGTGCATGTTTGGCGTGTGGGCTGGCTTGCCAGAGAGCATACTTAGGGTCGACCCCTTGAGGCGGCCTCGAGATCCCTCTCTCAGGGGATAGCGTTTGGGGAGGATTGGGTTCAGGTGGGGATGCATCGACCCCGAATCGCCCATTCATCACCGATAGGGGCCTGAAAACTTTGCCTATTCGGGAAGCGTGAAGCGTGCGGTTTCGCTGCCGGGGGTCCATCGCTTGTCCATCGGCGATGTGTCGCAGTTCAGAGGTCGATGTTTCCCCCTTTCGCCGGATCCTCAACTACCAATCGTCTTCCCTCCCTCTCCTTACCCTGCCGCTGCAGATCTGCTCGGGGATTCCAGGTCCAAGGTCGCCAGAGCCTGCGGGTGTCGGAGCGGGTGGGTCCAGGACGGGAAGGCGCGCATGTGCGCGTCAGAAGGCAGCAGCGACCCCACATTTGTTTGGCTCGGGACTCAGGACGGTCCCAGTACAGCAGGCTCACGTCGCGCCGACTCAGTGGCGACCCCACCGCGGGCCAGTGGCCCAGGCCCTGCCAATACAAAACGATCTGCGACAGAAAAGCAGCCGATCCCTCAAGCCCGAACGGTCCGCGCGGTGTCAGCGACCAATGCCCGAATCGTCACGACATGAGCCTGCCGCATCCCGTCCTCCCTCTTCGAGGACTCTGCCCGGCAGGGAGGGTGCTCTCCCCGTCGGGCCGATGCACTTCGATTAGTGCATTGGTCGTTTTCGGTTCGCGAGAGGGCGTCGCGGTCGTCATCTTTGCGGGTCCAGGTCCGTCGGTTTCGGTCCTAGGCCGTTTTCACTAAAGGGTGGTTTACTGAAGGGAGGCCTGTCCACCGCCGATGGAAGCCCTCGCGCCCTCTGAGAAGTGCTCCCTGCCTGCGGGGGAGGGCTCCGGAAGCCCTGCAGAAGGCCGGAGGCCCTCCGAGCCTTCCCGAGAAGGCCGCCCCTCCTCACCCCTCCCGCCGGGCTCACCGCCGAAAGGAACCCAGCCTGCGACACCCCACCCCCAAGGTATTCCAAGCCGCTCGAGGCGAACAGTTCGTATGCCCCAGCGCCTTACTTCTGGTATGGCTGCTGATGTTCCCTCGCTCCCCACCTCCCTTTCCGCCGCAGCCGGACTTGACGCAGCAGCGCTTTCGGTCCCAGCCCCGGCTGCGGCGACGCAAGGGGCAGGACAATGACGACGACGACGACGACGAGGAAGTCGAGGGCGAGGACGAGGACGACGTCCACGACCAAGCAGACTATATAACCAGACGGCCCAGTCAGACCAGCCAGGCAGACCAACCACACCAGCCATGTAGAGTCATCTGACCAACCAGACCAGCCAGCCGTTCGGACCAGCGAAGCACAGACCAGACTAAGCAGACCAACCTGCCCGGACCAAGCAGACTAGTCAGACCAGCCAGCCCACCTAGTCAGGTAGACCAACCAAACCAGGCAGACCAGCTAGCCGTTCAGATCAGGGACACCCAGACCAAACTAAGCAGACCAACCTGGCTGGTCTAAGCAGACCAACCTGGCCGGACGAACCAGGCCGGATTTGGCCAGTCAGACCAGCCAGTCACATTGGCCAGGTAGTCCAACCAGGCAGGTTAAATTCTTAAGTTGGAGCTTACGTCCCAAGCTTTGAGCTTGCTCCGTTGAAGCTTGGCGTCCTGCCATGCGCTAATTAGTCCGGTTGGTCTCTTGCTGGTCTGGTTGGTCTGCGTCGTGGTGGGGGCATAGGAAGAACGCCTGGCGGCGCCAACTCGCGGCCGCCCTCCTCCTCAGACGGCGGCGCTGGGGCACCTGTCTTTGTATTTCAGTTCGCCGCTGAAGCTCCCGTGGGCCGCCGTCCTGTATTTCAGTTCGCCCCTGAGGCCCCCTGAGGCTGCCGTCCTGTATTTCAGTTCGCCCCCGAGCCCTCCTGTGTCCGCCGACTTTCATTTCAGTTCGCCCCCGAGGCCCGCTGTATCCGCCGTCCTGTAGTTCAGTTCGCCCCCAAGGCCCGCTGTGTCCGCCGTCCTGTATTGAAGTTCGCGCCCGGGCAAGAGTAGCCCGACCAACCAGACCAGACGAATCAAACTAGACCAGACCAATGAACGAGACCAGACCAACCATACCATAACTAATCCAAGGCTGCAAGACGAAGCTCAAACCAGACCAACCAGACCAGCCAGACCAGATGCAACAAATAACTGCAATGCACCACAAACTGCAAAACAAAGAAGTGCAGAGCAAAAACAAAGTCATTTCGATCATCGTGGTGGTTGGCGCTGCCTTGCCAGACCTCCCCTAAACCACTCTCGCCCAGATCCTAAGCTAAGGCTGCAAGGCGGAGCTCAAACCAGACCAACCCGACCAGCCAGACCAGATGCATAACACATTGAAATGCACCAACAACTGCAAAGCAAAACAGGTTGCGAGGCAAACAAATGAATTTCGGTCGTCGTTGTCGTGGTGGTTGGCGCTGCCTCGCTGGACCTCGCCTAAACCACTCTCGCCCAGATCCAAAGCCAAGTCTGCAAGACGAAACTCAAACCAGACCAACCCGACCAGCCAGACCAGATGCAAGAAAAGTTGTGATGCATAAGAACTGCAGAGCAAGCAACAAAGTCAATAAAACACATTGCGTTTCGGTCGTCGTCGTGGTTGTTGGCGCTGCCTCGCCGGACCTCCCCTAAGCCACTCTTTCTGGGATCCAAAGCTAAGGCTGCAAGACGAAGTTCAAACCAGACCAACCAGACCAGCCAGACCAGATGCAAGAAAAAATGCAATGCAAGCAAACATTGCAAAGCAAAAACATCTGCATGTCGATTGTCGTGGTGGTTGGCGATGCCTCGCCGGACCTCACCTAAACCAGTCTCGCCCGGATCCTAAGCTAAGGCTGCAAGGCGGAGCTCAAAGCAGACCAACCCGACCAGCCAGACCAGAAGCCAAAAGTTGCAATTCACCAAACACTGCACAGCAAAAAAAAGTGCAATGCAAAAACAACTGCATTTCGGTCGTCGTTTTGGTGGTTGGCGCTGCCTCGCTGGACCTCCCCTAAACCACTCTCGCCCGGATCCTAAGCTAAGGCTGCAAGACGAAGCTAAAACCAGACCAACCAGACCAGCCAGACCAGAGCCAGACTTGCTCTTTGTAAGTTCGGCGTCCCGCTGTGTGCTACACGGCTAAGAACTTTCTCGACCTCGCCCTGGCACAACAGCACCAACCTACTGCACGGTATGTTCGCGTCGTGTCGTCTGGCGGCGACCCTGTCGCCAGTGTTCAATGTTCCGCTGGCGACCCAGAATCGGTAGATGTTGAACGATCTGACATTTCAGAAACGGCCGATCGTTCAAGGTTGTTGTGGTGTCAGAAACCAGTGCCAACGTCGACACGGCACGAACTTGGCGTAGTCTCCCTCGTCGCACCAAGAAACGAGCCTTCTGCACCCCCCCATCGGTGGTTCAAAGATGGGGTCCTGAGGGGTGGGGTCCTGCGAACAGAATCCAAGGGTGGAGTTGCACTGAATGGGGCACCTCGTCCTCAGGACCCCATCCCTCAGGACCCCATCTCCTGAACCGCCGGCCCCAAACTTGCATCAGCTGGACAGGCGGGTCGGCGCCCTCTGGAAGTCCACCCCTGGACCCCTTCCTGTCCCTGGGACGCCACCCTTCGGAACCCCACCTCTGTACCACCGACCCCCGCTCTCCGAGCCCGCCACTGGGCCGCCGCGAGCTCCGCCCTCCTCGTCCGCGGAGAGAGGGCCTCGGCCGCCTCGGGGCGGCTCGCCGCCACGGGAGGCCTCGGGGAGAGCGGCCACCATGGGTGCGGCGCGAGGCCCGAGGGCTCGGGCCCCGAGCCTTCCCCCTTCGGGACCGGGAGCCGAGTCCACTGCGTTTTTTTTTTTGCTTGTCCAGCACTTTGTGGCAAATGGCGGCCCGAGCACACTGTATACAAACACACGCACACACATATACACATATATATATATATATATATACTCACATACATATACATATACACACCTTGTTTGTTTGTAAGCGGCGAGGCGGCGAACTCCGCCCCAGAGTGACAGATAGGTAGGGGCACTAACTAGCGAATTGGCCGGCGTGCAAGGAGGGAGGGACCAGGCCGACGAGGAAGGAACGCTCAGACGCCGAATCTCTCTCTCTCTATAGATCTAGATACAGACAGACATACGCACATACATGCATACATACATACCTACATACATCTATATATATACATACATATACATAGTAACGTACATGCATACAAACCTACACATACATATACACATGCATACATACATATATATATATACATACATACATACATACAGGCATACACACAAACATACAGACATACCTACATACATACACACATACATACATGCATACCTATATGCATGTATACATGCATCCATACATACATACACATATATATATATATATATATATATGTATATATACGTAGATGCACACATACATACATCGATACATACATACATACATACATACATGCAGACATGCATACATACATGTATACATCCATACATACATACATACACACATACATACATTCATACATACATACATGCATGCATACATACGTATACACGTACACACTTACAACAACACATGGATGCATACTTGCATACACGCATACATACATTCATGCATGCATGCATATATGTATATATATACATGCGTACATACATGCATCCACGCATATAAACATACATGCATGAATACATACACGCACACATGCATACACCCACACCTACATGCATACATACAAGCATACACACATACACATATACATGCATGCATGCACACGCGCACGCATATATACATATGCACATACACATACATCCATGCACATTCATGCACATACGTGTCTACATACATACATACACCTATACACACATACGCACATGCATCCATGCATGCATGCACACATACATGCATGCATGTATACATACACACATACACACATGCATGCATGCATGCATGCATGCATGCATGCATACATACATACATACACGCATACACACATGCATGCATGCATGCATACACATACATTCGTACATACAAACAAACACGCATACATACATCTGTACACATATATATATATATGGAATCCACATATATATATATTGCGACCGACCCCAGAGGTATCAGATGGACAAGCTGGTCGGCGCCCTCGGGAAGCCCGTCGCCGCCCCCGAGCGGCCGCCCTCGGAGGCGCCGCGCCGCCGGGCCTTGGGCGACGGGCCCGCGACGGCGACGGCGACGGCGACGACGACGCGACGCCGCCGACGCCGACGCCGAGGCCGACCCCGACGCCGAGGCCGACGACGGACGACGGACGCCGACGACAACGACGACGACGACGACGACGACGACGGCGACGACGACGACATGGCCGACGGCGACGGTGTGCTTTAGTCTGCTGCACGGCAGGGGCCGCGTGTTGTAGGATTCGGTGGCGAGTAGTCGAAGTAGGAAAAGGTGACCATACAGGGACATTCCCCTCGTTTTCTGCTTTTTGGGTCTCCCGGTTGGCCCTCGTCGCCACCGCTGGAATCGCCCAGAAATTCCAGTCAGAACGCACCTCGGGAAGGGTCCGGGGATTAGAGATATGTTTCCCCAGATGCAGAGGGGGGCTGGCCTTCTCGGAAGGCTCGGAAAGCCTAGGGGTTTGTGAGGAGTCTTCGAGGCCTTCCCCGGAGGCGCAGGGCTCTTTCCAGGAGGCCGGAGATCTCCTGGGAAGCCCTACCGCCTTCTGAGAAGGCCTGTTCCCTTTCACCCACCCTCGGGGCACTCCTGAGCCCTCGCACGCATTCCCCCCGCTTTGAAAAGGAACCACGGTCAGGGGCTTCGGCTTAGCATGTCGCGCCGCCAGATCTGATACGCAAACAATATGGCCAAAAAATGTTTAAAAAAGAGTCCCCATACTATTGTTTGACTATTTTTTCGATATTCCCCTTGTAGAAGAGGGACAGGTCCGACGTAAGGCAAGGGCACGAGGCACGGGTGCTCGCTCTGGGCGGTCGCGCCGCCAGCTCTGGCCCGCCACTCTCCTGCGCGCCGCGCGGCCCACGGCCCAGTCCTCAGGCGTCCGTGCCTCGAGCTTTCCCGAGCCTCCCGCCATGCGGAGCGGAGCGTCACGCCATCCGCTTGCACTCAGGAGGGGAAAAACACACACAGACACAATTAATCGTCGACCCCCAGGGAAATATTGGAACATATGGGGAGTGGTGGGGAAGACAGAAGCCCAGAAAATATGGGGAATCGTTTTATTTGTGTGTATTTATTTTGTGTGTCCTGGGGCCCCTTTACGCACGGCATGGCGTGTCGTCGCGGCCGCCGCCGCGACACGCCAAGCACAAGATCCCGACCGTACGGGATCGAGGAAATTGTGGTCCATTGCAGATTCATTGTTTTGCCGATCGGCGCGGGCCCTCGCACCCCCTCCCCTCCCTCCCCCCCTTGGAGTAGATCTGGGCGGTTTTGGGCGCCTGTTTCCGAGCAGGTGGAGTCTCCCCCACAGGGCGCACTGCTGCGCCAGACGCCCCCCCCTTCCCCCCCCCCTTTTCTGCGCCCAGTGCCGAAACGCCGAGACAGAAAACGCCCGCAAGAGAGTGAGGCGTCTGTTCTGCTGCAGAGCGGAGGAGGAGGAGGAGGAGGAGGAGGAGGAGGAGGAGGAGGAGGAGGAGGAGGAGGAGGAGGGGGCCTCGCACGCCACCCTCGCAGAAGCCCTCGGCTCGGCCCGCCCGCCTCTCGACGCCGCCGCCGCCGCCGCCCCCCCCCCGCCGTCGCTCCCGGCCAGGCGCCCGCCACGAAGCGCCGGCGCCCGGTGCCGGACTGGATGGACCCCCACTGGACCAAGGCTCGGGGGGAGTACAACAGGGCCAGGATCGGGATAAATCGCTCCAGAGCGTTCCGGAGCGCTCTCAGAGCGTTCCGGAACGCTCTGGAGCGGCCGCGGCGCCCAATACATCCTCCAAACCCGATTCTCAGAGATTTCGAGTTATCCCGATCCGATTTTGTCCCGATCTTCGCGTCGTTTTAGGGAGGCGTAAGGCTCGAGTTTGCCAGGGCTCGGGCTTGCCGGCGCTCTCGATCCAGGAATTCCCGGACGGGGACCGAGTAATAATGGGGGGGATCGGAGGATCGCGCCGCATCGTCGACGCATCGGCGATGCAGCTTGATGTGGGGCCCGATTTTCGCCTCGCCGACGGCGCCGATGCATCGGCGATACATCGGCGATGCGGCGCGATCCTCCGACCCCCTGTGCTCGGACCCTATCTACTTAGGAGGCATCTATGTGACGGGCACGTTCGGATCGGGCGCGCGCCTCCAAGGAGGACATAGTACTAGTATGCCCCTGTGCGTCTCATTTGCCGACCCTTTTTTGACGGGCCCATCTTGACTTGTTTGACGGTTCCGTTTTCGTTGGAGGTCTGCGGCTGGAGCTCACGTCGAATTTTCCTGATTGCCCCAGGCAGGCCAACCCGAGTCTGATGGGCATATTTGTAACCACCACCGACATAGGTAGGCGGAGGAGGAGGAGGAGGGAAATAATGAAAAGGAGGAGGAGGAGGACCTCCCCATCATCCCTTCTCCCCCGTCCTGCCTATGGTAGTGGTTGGACATTGGCCCATCATACCCGTGCCACCCGAATCTGAGCCTTACGTCTCCCCGACAAGGGGGAAGTGCGCGTGGAGCAGTCGCTCGCCGACTACATCAAGGGCTTCGGCGCCGAGGAGACGCTCCAGGGGACGACATCGGTCTGAGGTTTCTGAGGTGCTCGGCAGCCAGCGAGGGATGGAAGTGAGAATCGAAGTGAAACAAAAACTGCATAAACATAAACTTTGGGCGCTCCGCGCGGATTTCTTGGATCTGCGCTGGGACCCTCCTGGCGGCGCCTTGATCCGCGCCTGGCGCGCTCCGCGCGCCAGTGAGGGGAGTCCAAAGCAGATCCAAAGTTTACTTTTATGCAGTTTGTTCTTCTTCTCGAGAAGGGGCTGGTCTTCTCAGAGAAACTCCGAAGCCCCCGGCCTTCGAGAAGTTTCTTGAGCCTCCACCGAAGACACAGAGAGCTCCTCAGATGGCCAGGGGGCTTCTGAGAAGTCCCGCCGCCTTCTGAGAAGGCCTTCTCCTGACATCCCCCCCCATCGCTGGCAGCCGATGCTGAGATGTTCGGGCGTTCTCGGCGACTGCCCGGTGGTTGCCCAGCCTCGGGAGAGGCGATCTCGCAGTTGCGCCTCGCCTAGAGCAGTCAGGAGGTGCCCAGGTACCAGGGGGCGCCGGGTCATGTGATTTGAAAAGTCAGGGAGAGAGAGAGAGAGAGCGAGAGAGAGAGAGGTTAGCTTGGTATCGACCGGACCTGTGCATTTTGTATTGGCGAGGACCATCGAGGGCATCTCGACTCACCTGAGCGACGCAAAAAGCAGGGTCGACTGCGCCGACATTCGCTCGCAAGCTCCTCGCGTAAGGTTTCGCGTAAGCGCCCTCGTTTCCACAATAGCGTGTCGCGCCGGTGGCCCACGTAAACCACCGCGTGTAATGTCTCTACGTCATCTCGCGCAAGACCCGTTTTTGCTCGTCGCCCCCCTGGTGAAAAGGAAACGCACGACATCGGAAATGCACGGGGAATGGACGTCCACGCGATGGCGAGTTGGGGGGGGATAGGCGGCAGGACATCCAGGCCTCTCCGATGGCTTTCGAGTAGGCGGGGTCGGACGATCGCGCCGGAGTCGCGCTCTCGCGTGCTCGCGTGGGGCGCCC